GAGCGATAGGGCCGTTAATGAGGGAATGCTGAATGCAGAAGGTGTAGGATCCCCGCATATATGTAAAAGTATATGTATATATGTATATATCTATGTATATATGTATATATGTATATATATTTATATATATATATATATATATATATATATATATATATATATATATATATATATATATATATATATAGCCTAGGAGGACAAATTCGTTAAACTTCGCGTGCTATATATAACAAGAAAAAGTTTAATGCGAGTTAATAGTAAAATAAAGGTAAAAGGTATCGGCATAGCTCGCAAGAAAGGAAAATATATATAATAAAATATGTGTATAAGATGGAAGGCTGTAACCTCGGAAACCTTTGGTGGAGAGCGAGTCGTGGGTTCGAAACTAGTTAGTGGAACCGGGAATAGGTCCAACGGACGAAATAAGTAATGATATAACAAGATAAGATATATTAGAAAAGATACAGAAATAAACAAAGAGATATATGGGTAAAATTACCAAAGAAAAGATGTAACGTTAATATTTTGCTTACCTCAGGGTAAGAACATGGGGAAGAAGATTGGCAAACAAAATAATCGGAACTAGTGCGTACGGCACTCAGTGGGTTGTTGGAGAGCTGGGTCGTGGATAAGTTGAAATAAAATTGGGTCGGATTGGGGTATCTACTAAATGAAAACAAAGGGATACTTACATAAATGTCCTGGGTCAAAAAACGAACAAGATATGGCAGATAAGCTTACCTCTAGCTATTTTCTTTTCGGACGCCGCTTTGAAAAAAACTTCCTGCTGGAAAAAGAAAACATTCTTCTTCAATAAAAACCTAAAATACATACAAGGATTAGGAGACTTTTCTAAATTAAAACAGAAAATGGATCAGAGAAACAAATCAAACGTTTATTTTTTGTCTCAAACAAACAGTAAAAATTTCCAGTATCTATACAAATCTTCTAATGACTACTCTGCCAAAACTGCTATGCAAAGAGTATTATTATTTTGACTGGTCTTAAGACATCACAAAAAAAATGAATCAAGCATTGATTCAAAATTGCCCCAACATTTCACATCCGCGAAAGCGTCTACCTAGTTTGAAACCTTTTGTTCGACTTACATTGTAACACGTCTGCCCTGTTTCAAACTTAATCGTCGACTCCCCTCTGCCTTACCTTTTACAAACTCAAACGCTAAATATATTTCCCCCGCTTCTCCGAAGTTAGTTTGTGGTCTACCAAACCTAAACAAACAATACCCCCCTTGATATTCGTTCTTAAACGACAAAAACAACTAAAACCTCTTTTTTTACAACAAAATTAGGGGACTTCATGTAATATAATCTTTTTATGCGACAAAAAAAACATATTGAAATAGAATAATAAACGCAGTTTATTGATTATTCCAAGCGACCATAAAAACCGGAGTTTTTACCTAACTTTGTAACAAAAAATATATATTTGTACTTATCTCGTCAAAAAAACTTGAAATATTTACAACATACATTTAACTTCGTCGAGATATTAAAAAAACTTGCTATATTATCGATCGTTTTTCTTGGTATAAACAACCAGGGGTGTATTACAAAAATATGAAAGTTTAAAACGCTACAAAGATAAGATAGAAACAGGGCACCACTTAAATTTTTGGGATTAAAGGGGAAAATTAAGAAACCCTAGAAACGAAAAGAGATAAGGAAAGATATTTTGGTTCAGAGACCAAACCCAGGAGAAGATATTAACAGTTAATTATTAAATAAATTTGGTCAACACACTATATAAACAAATAATAAACATATTAGGTATTACACCTACTTACCTACGAAACTTAATCAGCATGATCTTTCTCCTGGTCAAAGGTATAGTAATATTTGAAGGTAAAAAAGCAGATATTCAGAGTTATTGTTATATCAGGAAACTTTTTAGGAGTCGAGAAATAAAATTCATACATAAAACAAAAACAATATCTTCAACACCACAATGGTATGGGCAGCTGAATAGACACACAAGTAATGAAAAATGCACCATGAATTGATCAATGGTTGTATACATATAGAAATTAACAGTAAGTTAATTAGGAAATACCTTTACAAATACAATATACATAATACAATAATGCACAAATAAAGTTTTATGGGCGTCTCTCTAGACAATACAGTAAATAAAAAAAAATAACAAATAACACAAAGTTAATTAAAGTCTACTTTAAAGGATACAAAAAGATTGCAGAAATAAAATGTAACAGAGATTGCAGAAATAAAACCGTACTTGGTTAAGTTGATTATCTGTTCGCACTGTTATTTAATGATTAACTGAGAATTAAATGTTCGTAATTTCGAAGATCTTAAAAACTAATTGAAAGTTCATATGTAATTATTAAATGTTTCTTGAATTCAATAGTTAAATCGGTCGTTAATCTTAACTACAGGTGTAGAAATGGATGAACTTAGATTCGTCCAGATAATTGAAGATGATATGATACCATACGATATTATTTGCCCAGATAATTGAAGATACTATGATTATCATAGTATTCGCCCAGATAATTGAAGATAATTATTATGATAACTTACAGTAAATCTTGATGACTGCTGCACTAAGCTATTTCATTCAAGCTAATATACTTTACTTGTATTAAGCACTGAAGTTATTTAAATTAAAAGGTACTTTATAACTATATTTAGTCTAATAAAGTATTAGATTAAAAAAACTCAAATATATAAGTGTATACATACTTAGAAAACAATTCAGAGACGGTAAGAGATGGTAATTTAGGCACGCGTCCTTCCTCAAGGATCGCCCACCTAGAAGTAAGTTGCTTCCTCTAAAAATTTCACAAACTTAGTATCCATAGTATCCATTTCTAAGAATGTAAAAATTTGAACGACATGGAAGATAACGGTACCCTAGCTAGGAACGTGAGAAAAATAGAATCTTTTGGATTTATGTTTTTACAGAAAATTACTACCAACGTGCGTTCGACGATAATTACCGAATTTATGAAATAGAAACCGGAAAAGGATTAACCAAACCGGCGTCTTTAAATGGAAGAAGTAGGTAGATTCTTCCGTAATATTTCGGTGGTTTTCAATAAAATTTAACTACCTATTTGCGAATACGACCATGGCCGTATCAGTACGGGGGTAAAAGAATTAACAATAATTTAATATTTTAATCATAAAAAAATGTTACAAGGCAACAGTATATACGTATTTCTGACTATTGGTCGTCTTCAGTACGGTGCAGCCAAGTTAGAAAAGGAGCATATTAACTTGGGAAAGGATCACTACAGGGGCAATGCGACCAATTTGTGGCAATAATGTTAGAAGACTCTGAGGTTTCCAGAACAATAACTTACACATCCACGGAGGAAGCTAAACTACCTGAGGAAAGGAATGTCAAACGTTTAGAACGTTTCAAACAACAAGAAAAAGGTTAATGCGAGTTGATAGTAAAATAAAGGTAAAAGGTAACGGCATAGCTCGCAACAAAGAAAAAAATATATATAATAAAATATGTGTATAAGATGGAAGACAATCGTATATACGTATTTCTGGCTATTGGTCGTCTTCAGTACGGTGCAGCAAAGTTAGAAAAGGAGCATATTAACTTGGGAAAGGATCAGTACAGGAGCAATGCGACCGATTTGTGGCAATAATGTTAGAAGACTCTGAGGACCCGTTTCGGGCTCCATAATTTTAGCCCATCTTCAGGCCTTCAATAAAAGGTTACTTAACCAATGACGGCACAAGCGATAAATGTTGTAAAAGTGTAAAGTAAAAAGTGTAAAGTGTAAATGGTGTTAAAAGTAAGTACTCTATTTGCTTGATTCTGTCGGAGCTGCCAAAGGAACCAAATTGCTACACCTAGATATGAGGGTTGTATGTACAGTGGCAAAGGAAATTCCTCCAAACTGCTACCACAGGTATGGTAAGCCATCTAGGCAATACCTAACCCTTCAACATTCAATTGAGACTTTGTGAAAAAAGTATGGAGTACCCCTAATTATTTGTATTCCTCAGCTTTCACAGTTAAACCAGAACTTTCAAATGAGATATTACTTGACATATGATTCCATTTGAATTTATTTTATAAAATAACGCCCGTCCGTAATTTTATAAGATTACGTCGCTAAAGCATCATAAAAAAAGTGTAGGTACAGGTGCCTTAATTTTTTTTAAGTTGTCAAACAATAATTATATAATATTGTATAGGGTGTTTCATTAATACTTGGAAATATGTTAACTGTAGATTTCTGGGCACAAAATATTAAGACAATCCATGTCACTTAAATAAAATGGAGCTTCTTACTGAGTTACAGGGTGTTTTATTTAAAAAATTTAAAACTACATATTTATATCCAGTACTTTAAAAGTATTATTATTAAATTAATATTGAATGCATCTCTTCGTTTCAAGTAATTTCAATAAATAACATTATGTTTTTTGTTGATAGCGATTAAAATCAAAAACACCGACATAATACATTAATCAAAATAAATGTGCCGCTTAATTTTTAACTTTATCTTTACGAATAAAGAGTATGATATTTACATAGAAAGTGCAGTGGTGTAGAATTTGGGAAGAGTCAACCATTAATTTTCCTCTGTCGTACGCTCTTGATAGTAACCGAAAACGTTTATTTAACATAATTTTGTAGGGTGTACAGTTCCTACACTTCCTGCCAAGTATGACAACGGTATGTCAAATAGTTTTAAAGTACTGGGTACAAATACTTTTTAAATTAAAAAAAAAACACCCTGTAACTCAGTAAGTAGCCACATTTTATTAAGTAATTTTGTTTAAACCTGAATATTTTAAGCCGAGGAATCTACAGCTAAAAAATTTACAATTATTAATGAAACATTCTTTATTTTATATAATTTAAATTTTATGATGTTCGTAATGAAGCCATAATACCTAGTCAAAGTCTTAGTTTCTTATTGTATTTTTTCTGTTTATTGTAATTTATCAATAATTACCTAAATCTAATTTCACAATATTCTGTTTCAGTAATGTATATGGCACAAACTACGTCTATAAGAATACCTGACCCTCTTGAAGAATTTATTGTTGATCATCCATTTATAATAATGCTGAACAACAGAGATGACTATTATAACAACAATATTCTATTTTTCGGAAAAATAGAAATACCATCATTCTCTTAGGATTTTAATGGTATTGTTTAATCATCTTAACATATATTGATTAGGTAGAAAACAAAATATCATTAACTTTGCTTTACATTGTCTTAAAATTTGCGCTATTTGCTAGAATATATACATAAGAATATAGAGTCTTGACCAGTTGACTAGAATGTATGATAGAACATATATTTAATTTAATTATGAACTGTGCCAAAAAAATTTCTTAACTCATAAGGCACATTAACATATGTGATTATTTGCGCTGCAAGTGACGGATGTATCTCAGTTTTTTTGCTATTGGCTTACCATGTCGAAGGACTCGGGTTTGATCCTTTGCACTGACACCAGAAATTTTTCAATTTCTAATTTAACTGATCCGCCACCGTGTTTGGAAGTCACGTAAAACCGTCGGTCCCGGCTACCTAAGAGGTCGTTAAGTCATAGGGGAGTTTCCGCGACCTGAAAACAGCAACACTAGACCTGAGCCAATAAGATATACAAACTTTTTTTGCGCCACTCGATTTTCTAAAACATTTATTTTATTTAGTTACGTTAAACTGTAGGTCCCATATAGATGTGGCACTAAATTATATCATCGTCGTAGTTATTATTAACATCTTAGCAGGTGTGTTATGGTTCATCATTAAGCTTCAGCAGCTCGGATAGTTTTATTAATGATATTTCTTCACCGGTCGCGGGCATCTCTTACCTGTACTGTCTCAGTATACTATTTGTTGATCAGCTTTTTCGTAATGCCTGCACATCGTTATAGAGATCTGTCATGTTGGTGTTGGCTCTGAGGCCTTCCTTGAAACGCCAACCGCTCCATTTTGTGATCACTTCGTTGGATATGACCAAAAAAACTTTAAAATGCTGTAGTAAACAGTACTAGAGAGAAGCTGAATGGGTTTAATTTTCTTTTAATTTCTTTTAATTTTCTTTTAATTTTCTTTTTTTTTTAATGAAATAATCTGCTGCAGAAATAAGAGTAGAAGAAAATTTGTTTACTGAGTCGTTTATATTATCATTCCAAGATGGAGTTGTGAAAAAATCAATTGATTCTCTACTAAGTATATGATGATCGATCGTCAATTTTTGTATTTCTATGTAGTACACGGTCGAGGCTATGAGGAAGTGGACGTTTCCATATAACTTTCCAATTTCATTTTGTATTAAAGAAGGATCTGCAAGAGTGAAATCCCAATTTTATTTTGTATTAAAGAATGATCTGCAAGAGAAATCAATATAGAAACGTTGTTAAAAAGAGCCGTTATGTTGGAAAACATATTTGTACTGTTAATGATGGTTTTTATTATGTACAGTATTCTGTTGTAGCCCCAAATGGATTTAGATCTGCTACTATAAGTTTAGATGATGAAATTTGGTCTGTATTTTGATTTATCTCTGTTACACTATTACTTGGTTGGTGGCAAATAAATGTTGCATATAAAGTAACAATTTAAGCATTTCTAGCTATGAAAAATAACCGTTAATTTTCCACTGAAGTATTATCTTTTTTTTATTATATTTGTTAATTATTATTCTTGTACTTGATCACTATCTTAATGGAAATATACATCATCAATATCAAATCTAATAATTTAGATACTTTGCTCTTACGGTTTTTCCATTACTCTTAAAGCAAACGATGTGAGGCTTTTAGGGATTTTTGATGTATTTTATACTTTTTTCACTACTTTGTGGATGAAGTTAACTCCAGTATTTTTCCACATTTCTCGTACAAATCACAGTTCTAAGTTACTCTGAGCGATTCTTGTAACAAGATGTGAGGTAAATCTCCTTTTGACACACCTTTCGTAGATCTAGGAAGATTCCATGTACTTTTAGGAATTTGTATAGTTGTTTATTCATCATCCACACTAGCTGCCTGCTGCTGCACGTAGACGAGCCTGTTAAATCCTCAAAAGATGCATAACATTTTTGTTAACATCCACAAGGAAACTAAGTGCCTGTATCTGGATGTATACCATGTATCACAAAAAAATTATTTAAAAATCCTTTATAAAAGGTAAATAATTAAAACACCCTATCGGGCTACATCACAGAACGTTTTTGGAATTAATATTCCATCATCAGTGTATCTGAATGTACATGTTTTGAGCCACTAAATAAAGTTGCTAGTCCTGAGACAAAGTGTCTACGAGGACTTATTGATAGCAACTGAGTTGCTAATTCCGAAAACGTTCTGTGATGTAGCCCGATTAGGTGTTTTAGTTATATACCTTTTATAAAGGATTTTTAAATATTTTTTTTATTTTCGTTAACCTCCCGCAAAGGAGAGCAAAGATAATGCGCAATTAATATATGTAACACATTTATCCACTGTGCATGAATCTATGTAGATGTCTTAGCTACAAAAAAAACAAAATTAAACTATTAATGGAGTTAGCCCTTCCTTGTTGGAAATTCATATGCAATAATATAATGTTACGATTTTAAATGTTATGGCATATAGAACTGTAAATATTTTATGACTAATTCTTTTTTATTGATTCTCGTAATTTGTAGGTCAAAATATACCTGAGCTTAGCTACCAGTTGTTTACCAGAAATCTCTAGACACTAATTTTGGTGAGTCATCCACGTCTCGAGGTTGAAAAACGAGTCGAGCGCCTTCACCAAAATACGAGACTATTCAAGAAGTCCGCCGAATTCTCTAGATGACACAGTTGTGTATATAAATGAAAGATTTTTATTTGGCAGTCAGTCATAAGAAGATCGGTAAACGCGGTTTACTTGTACGAAACGTGAAATAAATACATTTGTAAAAGTTATTTAATAAATTAGTAATTAGCTATCGTGAGTTTTAATAAATTAGATTATAGACAATAAATTAGAATAAAGACAAATAAATTAGAACTATATAAACTCAACAGTGGTGCAGAAGTGGGACTGTAGATAAATTTAATTTGAATTTTTGAAAAGAAGTGAAATTGGTGAACAATGGCTACGATTTACGAGCTCACAGTTACGAATCTAAGAAGGCATCTTGAGGATAGAGAATTAGCTTCTACCGGAAAAAAAGCTGAGTTAGTCCAACGACTAAAGAAGGCTTTGGAAGAAGAAGGTTTAGATCCGGAAACTTATATATTTGAAGATGCTGTCATCTCATCGATTAACAAGGTTTCCTGTGATATCGCATCATTGGAGAATAAAGTTTCTAACGAGATCTCATCCTTAGAAAGCAAAGTTTCTAACGAGATTGCTTCTCTGGAAAGCAAGGTTTCTGCTAACATCTCTAAAGTCACCTCTGAGATGTCTGCCCTCGACGATAGAGTGTCTTCATTAAAAAACCAAGTTGCTGCCGATATGATGGCCTTCGAAGAGAAGATATGGAAAGAGTTGGAAAGGAAGATTGAGGGAACAGACACAACAGAGAGAGTAAACAATCCAATTACCATAGAGACACAAGAAGACGAGACGAAATGTAAGTTAGAAACACGGCCGAAATTTGAAGGAAGCGGAGGTTATGTTCATGTCAAGGTTCCAACTTTCGACGGAAAATCATCATGGAACAACTACATGAAACAGTTCGAATCAGCTGCAAGAGCGAATGGATGGTCTGAAAAAGAAAAGGCTGTAAACCTGACTATCGCTCTTCGAGGAGATGCCTTAGATGTGCTCCAGACCATAGCCGTAGAGGAGACGGATGATTTCGAACAACTGAAGAAGAGGTTAAATATGCGATATGGCCACGAACACTTGGAGCATGTATATCAGTCGCAGCTCAAAAATCGAAGACAAAAGAAAGATGAAGCTCTTCAAGAATATGAAGTAGATATCGCCAGATTAGTGCGATATGCTTATCCAACAGCTCCCGAAGACATGATGGAAAAGTTGGCCGTTCAAACGTTTATTGATGGTCTTCGTGATCATGAGATGCAAAGAACACTACGATTAGCTCGTCACAAGACGCTGGTTGATGTCTTATCCGCCGCTCTTGAATACGAGTCAGCCACGCAGGCCTCTGGCGGGTACAGTAAAGTTAGGACTGTAAAAGAGGAAGAAGATGAAGATAAACTTGACCAGCTCGTTAATATGATGAAAAGCATGACATACAAGAAAACGAAGACCATAAGATGCTGGAATTGTGGCGAAATAGGACACGTACGAAGTTCATGTAAGCATCCTAGATACGACACAAATCAAGAAACTCACCATCAGGAAAACTAGAACGGGTCGGCCTTAGGGGGGCAGCTTCGACCCAGAACTTTTCCAAAGACCCTCTCATACTGATAGCTTCTTTGAAATGTCGTGAAGATAGTGTATATGTAGATGGAGAAATAAATGGTAAAAAGCATACGTTGTTGGTGGATACGGGAGCGACCAGAAGCATTATTCGCCCGACAGTTATAAACAGCCGTAAGAAACTGTTACCAACGAGGTTGCGACTGCGGACCGCTACAGGTGAAAATGCTAACATTCATGGAGAAATCCAGGTACAATTAGGAATTGGAGCAGAAAAGTTCGTCCATACTGTTATAGTTGCTGACATCGAAGAGGATGTTATATTAGGAATGGACGTAATGAATACGCATGGATTCCAATTGGATTTTAAGAATAAGGTAATCAAAGTTGGTAACGAGGAGGTATTCCTCCATCCACATGATGACAACACTATGCAAGCAGCCGTTAAAGAAGATACAGTCGTGCCTGCGAGAAGTGAAACGATAATAGTAGCGCGGCTACAGGGAATTGTGGACGAAGGAACACCTGTTATGATGGAGCCCTGGAATCACGACGACGAAGTTGGCCGTGGAATCATAATTGGAAAAGAATTAGTGACTTCGGCTAAAGAAATTCCTGTAAGACTTATTAATGTCAATGACTACCCAGTGACCATCAAGAAAGAGACAAAAGTAGGAACTTGTGTACCTGTTACATCCATAATCCGTCAGACGACAACGTCTGATAATTCCAACGACAAATTTGATCAAATGGTTGCAGTTGCTGGACAGTCTCTGAATCAGATTGAGAAAAGGAAATTAAGGGAATTTCTTCGGCAGTATCG